GGTGCCAGAGAGGAACAGATGGGTGCCTTCGCACAATCTGAGAAGTCTGACTTCATTTTCCGAGCAAGCATCATCGAGCGCGTGGTGACCGCCAAGGTGACGATTGTATGGTAACAGGCGGCAAATCCTAGGACACCGACAGCCGATTAGTTAGTGTTGCTCAAGAGATGATGGAGCATTGGATAAAAGTCGCCAATGACCGAATCACAACTGTAGTCAGTTGGGGCGTACGCTGAGATCACAAACAAGTTGCATCTCTCCTGCGATGTCTGTTGATTACATGAACTCCGAAGCCGAACCGCACACACGCGGCTGTCGATTGGGAATCAGTAGAGCAGTGCGAAATCGGCCTTGCTACTTAGTGCACCTCTTATACTAGCCAAACCGCCGACACTGCTTCTAGATCGCTAAACAAGGCAGGCAAGCGATATGTGGCTCCGTGGTCAGTGGACGATGTCAACTTATGAACACTTTCACCGAGGTTTCTCTACGCTACGTTACTACACTCAACATAATAACGCAATGATGATGTCACCTCGATTGGTGAGGAAACGCTTGCAACAAAATTGCCAAGCTCAGGTAACAGTTCAACCGCCACGGTTCTGCACGTCCTGTAGCTGGAATTCGGAGAGACAATAGACAGTACTATCGAGAGACACCAAGGTACGCGCTAGACCGGTAGGTTGTTCAATCTGCACAAGTGTCCGTAGGTTGAAGCACGCCAAACGGAACGGGGATCGGGATCAAAGGAGTGTTATTAATTTAGCTCCATGGTTCTCGAAAAGAAACGTAGCGAAAGTAGATAATGAAAACAGGAATCAGGTAACGAATAACAAGGACTGTTAACAAATGAAGAGTTAGCGTGCGATAAGAGCGCATGCATGTAAAAAGCAAAATCATTAATAGCACAGTGTGGAACAATGCATGGTTTTGTCAGAGGCAAAACCATTCGGCTGCCCAAGTCGAAGTTGAGAGTTGTTTTAAGGGACGCCACAGTTCACTGTTGGCCAATAGCCTACTTACGCGTCAGCTGGGCGAATACAGGGGATCGAACGTATTGGTCGGTTCCCAAACAGGGGCCAAACCCATCTCCAATTCCTGCATGCCGCTGCTGGAATACGATGCTCCATTGGGGTGAAGGGAGGAGCCGCGACTTCATGGAGTTGTTTAAGTAGACAGTAAGCTTCCACTTTACCCGCACGTGACATCCAATGTGGTTTGATCATAGCGAAAGTGACTCGCTTTTCATTCGAATCAGACGAACAGTTAGATTCTTCATCCATAATTTACCATAATAGCAACAAACGGTGTCAATAAAAGCAGCGCCAGTGCAGTACATGGTAATCACAATCTTACACCACTGAAACTGGAGGTCCATCGGTTTGGAATAAAAGAGTGCGAACGGTAAAGCATATTGGTAAGCTAAGCTATGCATTGACCTATCCTTCAGGTGATGAGAAAAAAGAAAAGGTGGTAAACAACGGTACGAATCAGAGAAAAGCCACAACCACGGATTCTGGATCTCAAAACAATGTGATCCATACGGTATGTGTGACGAACATTCAAAAGGAAGCTATTAACCTGAACGTGTCTCCTGTGTTTGAATACCGCATAACACTGAAATACAGGGTAACCAATGCACGACTGCACTCAAGGAAGCATGCACAGGTAAAATGGAGCTGAAACACGAGTTTAGCCGGGCATCCGAAGGACTTGAACGACCCGTTTGTACATAACGATGGCGCGAAAACAGTAATATGCATTGTGTAGAAACCCTAAGGAACAAAAGACGCAGGTGGTAGCAAGGACACCTTTGACGGCATTATGACCGCGGTAAACAGAAGCGAAGATTAGTAGCGATAGTGGGCGGAGACTGATGTGGCCACGCAGCGACTAAGAGCAGGTCCCAAACGCACAAGTGATCGCATAGGTTTAGAACACACATGCACTTCAGCTTGACATGTCAAAGTCATCAAAGTGCCATCCAAGTTATATGGACGCACTGAGAAAGTGGTGGATTCGGGGAACTTTGATAACAATGGTTAACAGCATATGGGAAGCAAGCTGACGTCATCAGACAATAGGGACGTAAGGTGCTAGTTCCCCAAGTGGCATACCAAATAGTACCACAGAAAGTGCAGGGTAAGGGGTGAACGCTGGTTTCTGTGGATAAAACGCTTAAGTGAAAAATGAAGACTAACGAAAAAAACAGACGATACTTAATTGCATGAATCTACTAAATGAAAGGTATTTAATGAGCGTCGCATATCTCCATGGGTAGCTTGTGTTCGTACATTCGCCCTACTATGTGAGACGAAAAAACAGTAAACGGTGTAACAGATGATGCAGCTTATGAATAAGAAGTGGAGAATAAGGTTGCATCAGTGGTGCGGACGTCCAAAAAGTGTCAATGCGAAGTTATGTACCAGCAGGTAACAGCTAACGGGCGTACGCTCACTGCTAGCTAACATGCAGAATGAATAGATCAACCCGGAAGTGCACAGCCTGAAAGTCATGAACTAGCTATGAAGACAAGAGAGTGCATCTGTAGCTCATAAACGTTGTCACTGTGCGAATTAAGTTCTGAACTTCATGAGGTGTATAACTTGTCGACACCAGCCTACGGCTGATCCCAATGAGAGTGGCGATGATGAAGTAGCTGAATTTTACCAAAAATCCTCACTACTCATCAGTGCTATAAAATCTGTCCGTATGGCTTCTAAGCCCTCTGCGGTGCATTGGCGCTATGCGGAAAGTCCTAGCTCGTAAGGCTAGCCATTATCCTCTGCACAGTTCGTAATGGGCATGGCAGTGGAAGATGAGCCGGGCTATATCGTAGTCAACTGTCAATCACGCAGGTCTACGGCTGTCACCCATGGCGAAGTGGTACTAGCTGCTGGCATTCTGAAGTCATGGGGGCGGAATCCGGCAGGGTGCTGCTGGGAGGCGCACCAATGACGAGACACAGAAGGTCGAAACGCCGGCGTCTGGTGCTTTTCCAGACTAACCTAAGTTTGCTGATTGGGAGTGGCGATGATGAAGTAGCTGAATTATAATGATTTGTGTCAGATGTCGAGCCAAGGTCCAAAGGTGGGTTCAAAAACAAAACCTATAAATCGGAACAGCAAGTCAGAGAGCACCATATGCTCATAAAATTTAACTTCCAGTCAACTCTAACGTTCACCAAGAGAGCGGAGACATAACGGCTGAGCAGGTACGCGAAGAGCATAAGCAAGTCACCGAAGCATCTACAGAAAAAAAATCGAAGCTGAGGTTGGTAGAGGCCGTTTGACTTAAAAATCTGTCGATGAACTTCCTCAATGCTAATGTGATGTTGCCGTCGAGATTAAGCAATGCTCCGAAAACAGCAACGATGAAAAGCGGATGTTGCGATCATTTGTGCGAAATGACCAAGTTTCGCAACCACAGAGCGAAGCTACTCGTACCGTCGCATCCTAGACCGTTATTCACGATAAAGACGAAGAGCCCGGCAAAGGCAACGGGAGTTTCAGAAAGGTGCAAAGACCTTATGCATAAAAACCTAGACACCAAGGCCTCTCTCAAAGAACGCGAACATGTCGATAACATGGTAATCCAAAAAGATGAGGAAAAGAGTTCGCCCTGACCGATTCTGCAAGAAGCTCGTGCAATTCAAAGGAGCGAAGGTATTCTCGGACTGTGAAACGTCTATCTCCAACCTACGCAGTAGATCAGAGAGGCAGTGAGGAATCACAAGTTACAGTGATGTGGACAACATGATCCAAGTGAAGTAGTCCGTCAACCCGAAGAAGCTCGATGTGCCACAGTTGTTCAGACCATCCTCAACTTTAGCGAAATTGAATAAAAATAGTGAGGTTGGACAAAGCTGTCTCACGCCCCTGGTGATTTGGAAGAACGTGAAAAATCACCACAAACATGTGCACCGTCGTGGAATAAATGGCTCGGAGAAGACCAACACGGAGCACTCCACCTCGACAGACAAAGAGGGCAGCTTGTCAAATGAGACAAAATGAAGCCATATGTTTAAGAGGACAATGACTTCTGGTCGACCGGATGTTTGGGGTCACTAGGGTATTTAGTGGCTCATGAAGGTAAGAGAATTCCAAATGACTAAGAGTAACTGAAAAAGCATGGCTCGGTAGGTAGTCATAAGATTCAGACGAGGAGACATCCAAGAACGACAAAACTAGCGATATACGAATGTTGCTTCCGCACTTAATGAAATCAACAGGTGTACTAAAACGGAACAGAAAAAAAAACAGGAAAAGCGATAAACGGCTTTATGTTAAAGGGACGCATTGTGAATGGGCTCTAACGCAGTGAGATAGCTTTCGAACACCCGGTATCGATAGTCACGATGGGAACTTTGGGAGCTGTCCGTGGCAGACTGAGCAAAGAGTACGATTCAGGCAACCTCAAGCGTCCAGTCCACAAGCGTGAAGATGATAACTACAGTGGCGCACACTTCTGTATAAAACGGTTTACCAAGTGTATCGCTGCCGAATCCGCCTTGTGACAAGTCTATTAAGTCGAGGTCATTGGCTGTGGACCATAACCGCAACAGCTGGATACAGGCACCATCCTCGAATGACTATATGTGACAGCGAAATATAAGCACGGATTACACATGTATTGTCGCTAATGAGAATAATGTTGAAGCAATAAAGTGACGGTAAACAAACACTGAACCTAACAGAGAGACCAGTTGTTACAGAGTGAGCTGTCACCAAAATTATAACTTAAAGACTTAAGATAGATAATGTTTAACTCATGTCAAGTGATTGAAAACGTGCTAGTGGCTCAGACGATGTCAACAAAGCGCCAATTGGATCCAAAGGGCTGCAAAATTACGCAGGTCATCGCACTATGTCAGTTGGTCATCAGTAAATTTGCAGATACACGGGGAAGTGAGTCAGCATATTGCAACGAGAAATTAGCTCCAGCAGATCGGCAATTGTATGAGTACATGGTGGAGTAGTTGAAAGTAACACCATACTTACCAACGGGTCCGGAAACCGGGGAGTGCTCGCATCAGCTCCAAAATTTGGCGCAGCCGATTGTGTCATGATAGCCGGTGGTTGAACTGAGGAGAATGAAAAGAACAGGCTGTATGCCACTTTTCCTAATGATAATATAGTTATACGACTAAACAAGTGTGGCGTAAAAAGCAAGGTACGTCTAATCCGTGATATAATCGGATAATACCCGGGAATGAACGACTCTTAGTAGAGCAGTTCAATTGAGTATAGAATAAGTGGTAAGAGGACTGATGTGCGGAGGATCTGGTTGTCTTGACACATGTTGGAAAAGTTGAAAACAATCAAGAACGTCGGATGGAATAAGCAAGGACTCGGAATGAGTGTAGGAAAGCCACTGAACTTGTGATTGCACTAGAACCGGTAGAGTTGCTAATCGTTGAGAATGACCACAAGCACCACCCTGACTCAGTCATTCGATGAGTTTCTTCACGCTTCTCTTCTATATCACTGGATGGTCACGGGATTCCACTCGAATATACGCTATAATCATAAATTACATCCATCGGGACAGTCGGTCTGCAAGCATATGGAGTACAAAGCAAAGTTACTGAAAGTAATCCGAGTTTAACAGCCATTCCAGTGGTCTACTGAAGAATCTGCCGACAAACACTATTTAAATATGTGTGTTCAGTGAATAAGCCTGCATAAGTTTTTGTACATAAATAGAATAAAAACAAAGTAAGAATATATAAGCGAGGACCACACACCTGGTCGGAAGATTGCTTTCACACAAATGTAAGGGAAAACCCTGGTGCTGTGGCTATTTGGTTTTGTTAGGGAGTACGCATCATGAGTTGTCACAGTGAGAAGCCTTCTATTACAAAATCCACTAAGAAAAGGAAGGTCAAGAAAGTAGAAGCGGTTCAGTAAAAAAAGCTACAAGGAAAGATCAAGCAAAGAACAACCACCTTTCAAGTGCAATACGCATTGCCGGCACAAGCATCGGATAAGAAGACAAAGTACGGTAACAAGCGTGGACCACAGTGGAGACACACTCAGAACCCTTCACCTGATTGGGACATCGCCCGCATCAGAATGTAGGATGAACCTTCGTAGGGAACTCGTTTGACTGAATAAGAGGGCATGCGTCATGAGATCTGGCACATAGTACGATGAATCCACCAACGACAGGAAAGGGTCATAAAAACAGACGTGGTCCAAAGGCGATTCGTGTACAACAGGCACCCCAGTAATGTGTTGAAGCCTGCTGCTAAGCATCGAACGACGGATGTCGGCACTACTCGCTCGGTTCTCTCGCTAGATATATTTAATAGTTCGCAGGCTCCGGTGGTTAAACACGTTCACTCATCCAACATCATCAGTAAGTCGCGGTCCAGTTTCTTATCCATCCGGCAATGACGGCTGCACCGAAGTGTTGTAAATCCAACTTGTAACTGACATCTCGTCGTCATAAACAGTGACCGAGGTTATGAAAAACCACACGAGTTTCAGCAATGTATGTATTGATATGGTCCATAGTAATCATTTCACATCGCCCGATTCTCATCCCACTAGGTCAAATATGCTCGGTGATAAAAGAAACAAAAGAGCACCTACGATAAAGATACAAGCTAAGTCGACTATATTATGAAGTGTAAAGAATAGATCACACAACATATAAAAGTGACAAATGGAAAAGAAATGGTATATGTAGAAATCCGTCACATCTAGACTCACTCAGACAGCCGTCACACGTCCGGAAAAGCACTGTACGCGCGTTTCATCCCTTCGGGAATTGTCAGCAGTGCGTGTTCCATCGGACCCTGGTAGGGCTCGAACCCGCATCTGGACTGTTGTCAGTACGTGGTTGAGACCACTGAGCTACGGGGGACGGCAACGACTACCGCGATTAGATTACTAGATGTGACACAGTGCCACTCACTATCCCCTGGCTTGCACGTTACTACCGTGCGACGAACTTACCGAACTTAAGTGGCGTTACATCACATTTAGTAACTTATTCACAGTGGTCGTTGCCATCCCCAGTAGCTCAGTGGTCTCAACCATGGACTGGCAATATTCGAGTTGCGGGTTCGAGCCCTACCAGGGTCCGATGGAATACGCACTGCTAACGCTTCCCAGAAGGATGAAATGCGTGTACAGTGCTTTTCCGAGTGTGTGATGACCGTCTGAGTAAATTTAGATGTGACGAATTTCTACCTATACCATTCAACTCCCCCTACTACTCCTCTGGAAAAGAAACAGTTCGTAAAAATAGTGTGCCGCGGCAAAAGAGCTTTAGTACTAGTATCAGCTTCATGAGCCATTTGGACTGGGTCTGATTTCAATTTTGACTAAGACGACAAATGAAAACAGGTAGCTGCAAGAAAGATAGTGAAAATTTGTCACATGCTCGCTGAAAAGCACCCATATTCCGACTATCATCGGTTGTTAAATATCAGAGTGGAGGAACCGGAATTATGAAGCCAGATGACACGGATGATGTGGTGACCGCTCAAACATGCGTTAGCACATATGTTGCATGTTCAGATCGCAAATGCATCCATATTCAATAGATGAAAATGAATGAAAGCTACTTACAAGCATATCACCAATGAAGCGGGGCATTTTACACAGTTCAAAGAGCTAGTGAAGCAATCCGGGGGTAGAAAGGTGTAGAGAATAAAACAGAGGAATCGAGTCAACATACCAGTCGCCGCTAGCTAAACAGAATGTGAGATTTAGTAGGAGATAATGTATGGAAATTTGGTTGAGTGGACAGAGAGCGACCACTGGATTTAAGGCTAAATATATTTTGGGGCAACTAAGCAGGTTCAGTGTGTAACAAGTAATAGGAATTGAGGATAACAGAGAGAAGCTTAAGATAACTCAAACCTGATTATCAAACTAAATCTGGGAAAATCAGTGGAAAACGAGGCAGTCGCTTATAATGTGGCGTCATTGAAGTGTGAACGACTATTGCGACACATTCTGGGGGCATATCGTAGCAATCATTTCGGGGAAAATAAATAGACCGTTACAAATACATTCGTTACGCAAGCATATTCTCCTGGAATCTAAAACCAATCCAGCTGAATGGTTCCATTAACAAGTACCTGAATTCCCAAGGAGAACAGGCGTGGGAGCTGTAGTTCCTGAGCTAAGTGAGGACGCCGTACCAACGTTGCTCAAACCGGTGGTGAAACAATTAACAGTTTGCACTGGAGAACTGTTAATTTGTGACATATGGCGCACAGCCGTGCCGGGGCCCAAAGTATTACCAGAATAACTAAAAGAGACGACTCGACCCCCGGGTATAACGACGTCAGGTAGGTCCATCACATCTGTGCCTGGTTGACCGGTCCCGTTCAATGAGGTCCCAGCGCTTGATGGAAGGCCGTGATGCTTGTTGGAGCGTACTAAGCTGGCACTTCCGCGAAATCCAGTCGGATCATCACATATATCTTTGCCTCCGATATAATACCACAGGTTGGTGGAGAACAATTTGTTATCAGTATAGGGAGATTGAAGTGAGTGGTGGCGTCGACGACAGGCCCATATCAAAATGACCAGGAAGAGAATGGGGATGGTGAGACCGAGAACCAAGGCGCTAACAAATGTGATCCCGAAATACTGCGCCCAACTCCACTGACTGCTGGTTGTGACACTTGACTTCTGAAGAGCTGTGAATGGAAGAAACGGGAGGATGTTAAATAACAGGGCATCTAAGAAAACGACCATGTAGTGGAACACTACTGTGAGGAGGGTGGACAAACTCAAAGGATAGAATCGAAGACTTCGCATGGGATACAAATGACAATCAGGAAAGCCGAGTCGGCAAGCCACACAAACAACAAAAATTCCGGAACAGAGATGCAAACATAGCAACCGAGAATGTGTGCTGGTACTGACACATCGACAAGCCAGCCATGGATGCAGCGGGACGACCACATGGAGTAATAGGTGAGATTAATTTGAACAGAGTTATCGCATGAAATTGTGTATGCAATGGTCACGTGATCCCCATTGTATTCCGATCAGCTATCCCGTAAATAAACTTGCCATAACACGACACCAGGGAAGGTAACTAGTACTAAATCAATAGTCAGTGGGAATCCACCGAGAACGGACGCAGAATGAGGCATTTGATGGACAGTAGATAGAAAATAAAACAGCAGTCCATTAAGTCGATGTAAAGGGGAGCTCTAGCTAAATGACTAAATGAAGAAAAATAGTGAGCGTGTGAACCGAATTGGCTGGTGAAAGCGCCGGGGAAGAAGAAACTGAAAAGTAGAAAAAGGCAACATTATTGTATTCACATCGCACGTCGTAGACTTTTCTGCACAGTACTACTGGTTGAAAAAGGTGACCATAGCAAAAATAGTCAAGCGTCTCAAAGTAAGTTGTGCCTAACGGTCGGCTACCATGTATCCTCCGTCGTGCGATTCAGACCAGCTCAGTCACTTTTTGCAATTCAAGGTAAGCTTTATGTAGCCTAGTGGGTGCATTTTCAGTTACCATGACTAGAACAACTCTGGAACTGAAAGAGTCCAGAAGAAGTGTAGATCACTATTGAATGAAACGGCAAACAACAAAAAGCAAAAGACTGTGAAGTGACGCAAATGACTTTAGGGCAGAGTACCATGAGAAGAAATTTTTATTGCGCTCCATACCGTAGCCCACATACTGATAGACAATATGCACAGTAATGACCAAGTTTTCCAACAGTATTAATCATTTTCGTGTCACACCAACGAGTAATCACTCAGAATTTTCATCCAAATAAGCCCTATATATATATGTATATATACAGGAGTAACCAGTCTACAACCGTTCGAAAAACGGGAACCTGTCAAGCAGACGGTCCAAGATCAACAGACAGTTTGGAAAGCCAATAAGACATGGGTTTTCAGGCACCAACAAGCGAACTTCAGCACTGCCCAATGGAAGTCACACTGGATTCGCGTGCTGCTGTACAGGTATCTATTAGGAGAATAGCTATTAGACATACATTTTTTGTGAACAAGCTTAATAGCCATTCATTATTCTTCTTATTTTCTACTTCTTGATTGTTGTTTAAACGTTCCACTGCTTTATCCCAATTGTTACACACACGTCATTGTTAATGGACGCTCAGCTCCGTGTCCTCTTCAGCAGTGCCATTTGCAAGAACACATTTCATTGGTTGTTCAGTACCACTTTTCTACTTGGTTATGTTAAAGGAATATTTGGTTGTCACACAATTATTGTACTAGTTTTTAATTTTTGGGTCTGCATTACTTATTCGCATTTGTTTCGTGACATTTGCTGAAACGTTACATTGCGCTATTCTGATTGGCCAGTGCCCGTCACTGTAAATGGATGTTTGCTTTACGCTTAGAGTCCCATGATGCTATTTTCAAGGACATATGCGATTCGCTCTTGAGTACCCGGTTGCTAATCCGTCGTTGCATTTGACGTTTTTCCTTCTGCTGGTTGGCTCAAGTGTAAGTTATTAGCTTCCCTTCATTTTGCCTTCAAAACTATATAAGCAAATTTGGTTTCATGTATACAAGTCTTTCTGGCTCGTCTTTGGACTTCTTCTTGCGGTTGTGGGGCGAATGCGTCAGTGGCAACAAAACAGTATCGATGGTGCGAAAGGTCCAGGACGCACGGTATGCAACGAACACATCTGTGACAAAGATTCGATGCATTACATCTTCGTATTTTCCACCTATACTCGATAGACCGTTTCATCATTTCCATAGATGTACACACGCGCCTATCAATCCGAAAGATAGCTTTTTCCGCGGCGTAAAAACCAGGGGCAAGACGCCTGCCTAGTTAGATGAACTAATTAGTTTTAGTGGTTATGAAAACCTGTGTGATAGCACATTGCATACTGAAGCCAGGAAACTTGCAGCACCCTGCGTTAGTTAATTTAGCAGCGCAAGCACAGTGGCTGGGTCGGACCTTAAGAGCCGAATATTCGTCGAGACCTAAGTCTGTCTACCGATCAACTGGAAAAACGTGAATTCAAAAGACAACATAGGATTGAACCATTCAGGGTTGTTTGATCACAGGCTCAAATAAAAGAGGAAGAATAGCGTGCGCATGATGCGATCCACTTTTCAAGATGAAGCTGTGTGACAGTCTCATGTATTCGCACACGAGAGATACGATAGAGATTTATAAGTATAAAAACAAGTAATAGGAAGGAATAACTGATAGGTTAGCAGTTATTAAGTCAAGAGAAACAGTGTTTGCAGGTCGTCTGTGTGTACGACGCTGTGTCGGAAACTGATCGGCCGTAGCTATATAGTCGAGCATTCTGTATCGGATACCGAAGGCCCTCAGGCACCTATGGATGAAATCATAATTGGGAGCATAAAGTTAATGGCTTACGCTTGATGACGCCAATCTCTTTAAAATGGTGAGGAATATGGGCAGCTGCCATTCCGAAAACCCCAATGGGATGCACCAGAAAATGTGGAAGAGTGCTGCCATGGTTCAAGTTGCTGGTTAGTTGGCATCTGTCTCCAGCGGTCATGGATTCAATCCCCGGTAGGGGACTGAATGAATGCGCACCACAGACGACGCCAATAGGGCGCTATTCGGAATTGTGGTTGGGTTATGTAGCTTGTGAGGGACTGGGACGAATACACTAAAAGTTAAAGCTAAAATCATCCTACTCATAAGTTAAAATAAAAATGAGTCGCAAACATCTTTCGGTCATTAAGATGGCTGTGCTATGTAACCAACGTGAAAGCTAAACAGTGTATCTTGGGTGGAGGCAGCCACTCGCTCGAGGAGCACGTATCACTACTTGGACACGTATTGCACATACCCGGTCAGCGTCTTTGGTGCCGCGGGTTGTTCGCGGTTACCGGAGAGGGCTAAAGGAGGCTGTGTTCAATAAAATACAATTAACGCTAAAATCCGTACCTGAAGGTAGAAAAGTTATGCTCCCCTCCTGCAGGGGCTTTCTTTGACAGTAAAGTTCCCGATCCCTAGTGAAACTTAATAGTTGCACAACTCCGGACTAGGGTACTCGGACTGAGACCCCACAGTACTGTTGCGGACACTAAAACTGGGTACTCTGCGAACGAGCAAAAACAACAGAAGCATATTCGAGATGTAAGAACGTTCATTTGGACAAACAATTGATTTCCGGTAGCCAGTTGTGCAACAGAAAAGGGCCGATAGGCATTCGGCCATTTTGTGGCAGCCGAAGTTTTGAATCGGAGGGATAAAGTAGTCCATCAAATAATGCGTGCAGATGAAGAGACCGAAACCTTGAAGGTGAGCGTTTGGAAAAGGTCAGGGAAATAAATGACACGCAAGCAGACACAAAGTATGGTATAAAGTCAGGTAAGGGCGTAAATGTGGACAAAAACCTTGCACTAAGGCCCTAACTGTGGCGGATGCAAATGTGGTTGGGCCAAGTTTAGTGCTGAGCCGGAAAACGACTGTTCATTGTTGTGCTAACTGGCATACCACATCAACGAATGCATTCAATCTAGCAATTTAGAGGGCATTGACTACATCACAGAACTAATCACCGGCGGTGTTGTACAAGGGAGTTTCGGGATCGTCTGTAGTAATCAAAAGTACTAGTAATCTATCTGTCGACTTGCTTCACAGTACTTCACCTGTTTGTAGACGACATCGGGGTACTCTAGGCATTCACACCGGAGAATAGAAAATATTATGGTATCTTCAACTTACGAATATAACATCCAGGTATACGAATGACATGTCACAGATAGAGACTGCTCAGTCACAGCATCCATCCCGGTACGCTTGATTCGCAACATCCTAATATTCTCTAAACACGTTCATTACCAAACCGTCAATTCACGATAAACCACAGTTCGTGTTAAGTCGTATAATCAGTAACCGAATGAAAGAAGTTAAATGGAACACACATACCTCTTCAACATAGATACTACAGAACTACAATGGGAAACAACAATTGAAAGAGTGCAGTGCTCATTTAACAAAGACATTAATTGCATGTTGCTCTCAACAAGATCTACGGAAAGTCACCAAGAGCTCCGGTGGCGGTCACCAAGACATCACAACCGAGAATGACCTTACTAATATGATAACCACAAATGCGCTGTTAAATGTACGAATGAACCGCTGTGGATACAACACAGCGAACAAAATGCATAAAAAGTTAGGGCAAACATCCGTTCATGTAGCACTAGGCACAAAACACTAGGTGCCTAGAGAGGATAGAAATTGAAACGGAAAAGATAAAATACTGTTTATATTAAAAACACGATATTGACAGATATGTGGTTAGCTGACAAAGTATAGAAAAAGGTAATACACAGAAAAGATTTAACGCACCACTGCATGGTTCCGTGTATGAGGTAATATTATCCACACAAATCCGTGCATCGGGGTACCCCGCTGGTATGGTGCCTTCTAATATTAGCTGGGCGGTGCAGAGAAAAAAAACAGGAAAGCTGATTAGAACACTACAATTGGATGAGAAACGGTTTTCGAAGTACAAGAATTGTAACATAAAATATTAAAAACCTTATAAATAAACAACATTAGTACTCAATTCGAATAGTTCCTGTCACGAAAAAGGAGAATAGATAAAGAAGATAAAGTAGGATAACGTAGATGAGTATACCCTTACCTTCTAAGTCGTAAAAAGGGAGTAATACAAGGATAGTGATGAGTCAACCACATAGGTTCCCAAGTGCTTGTTGATTTTAATACCAATCACACTTTAGAAGCGTGATAACTCTATTAGACCTCCGTACATTTCTCTGAGCATCAATGAACAGACAGACAGAAAATTTAAGATCAATGGGATGTGACACCACTTGTCAAGCCACAGTCCATCCACGAAAGCTGTGCTAAGTGAATGACGGATAGCTATGCAAATGACATTGGCACGACCAAAATAAAGCAAACATTAACACTGTGCACGTAAGACCAAACTGTGTTGTAAGCCTCATTATCGCTAACCACCCATACAACAAAGATAGCAGTTACAACCTTGTGACGAACCTTTTGCTAAATTGCAATCATACTGTACCCGATCAAAAGTTACTATCCGATTCCCCTCGTTTCCCTTTGTTGAGCTCACAATTCCCGTAGTGAACCCACCGCATTTCCACACAAGTTGGTGCCCATTCGCATGATCCATTTGTTCTCTGGTCCGAACTCTTATTTGGATCCACTCAACCACAGTGCCACAAGCTCCTTGTTGGTGATTGCTATCCTATCGATCGTGTTTCTTTATGTATTCTCTGTAGCCGAGAAAACAGTCTTTAGCTTGGTGCTCAGATACCGCGTTGACCTTACGTTTTCACATCCCAACGCTGATTCGTGGCAGCAATCGACGCGCCTGTTCATTTACCTGCATCAGATTCACCATGTGCTACTTCGATCACGGGTTGCTCTCACTTCAAGACGGGCCATGTCTGGTTTTTGAGCGACTGACAGATCAACGCTCTAGCAGGCTTTTTTGCCCATATGTATCTGTGTTCCCTTAGCATTGTGATCGGACTGTTGGTATTAGTTTCCTGATTAGTCCATCGAACATAGCATCATGCCATTAATACGCATTTGACGTTGATGTTGCTTCATTTTGTGCTGTCTTGGTGACCGGATCGTGGCACCTTGTTGCATAGGATAACTGCATGTACCCATCTTATAGAGAACATCGTTGTAATTAAAATAGTTATTGTCTGTAACATAACACCGCAGTACAACGTCGACTGTAGCCTTTCGATTTACCGGTGGAAGCATTCCGCTTCCGTATTTTTTGGTTCATTAAATCTAACTTGGAGGCCACGGATCGGTTGCCTACGAGTTGTTGGACAAATTCTAAGCGTGTTGAACGCTTACAAACCTGGCCCGAGTGCGAGTTGATAGGTCGTGTAAAGGTGACACAGGGGTTCTAAAAACCTAAACAGAATCTATTACAGCTAAACGAGGTGAAAGTAGCCAGAAGATGCATGTGAAACAATAGGCTGTTTAATCCTGCGGACTAATAGTATCCAAAAGCCATGGCGCAGATCGACTTATAATGACGAGAACCTGTTGCAGATAGACAATAAGGAACGCGTGCACTCAAATATATATATATATATATATATATATTGATCGTGATATCAGAAACACGAATATTTTGATCCTATTTATTCAAAAAGCTGAAGAACTTGGAGCTAGCGGCGAATAAAAAAAGATTAGTAGTGGCTCAGCAGCATCTCGAGTAGCCTGCAGGTGCTTAATGAATCACAATACGAGAGAAAGATAACAGTTCGGTTGTTATCCAAAACGACGGGATGCACAGAACAGATGCGTTATGAAAGGAATGGATGGGTAAGAAATGCGTAGATGGCAGCTGTGTATCTGAACATACAGTGAAAACCAATCAGATCTTCGTAGACACCGCTGGCTATGTGTAGAAAGGTTTTGTGGAGGTATCAAGTACGCAATATCTGGTCAAGAATAAACTTAAGTCGACGGAATGCATTCTTGCAAGATATTTGTTAAAAAAATATGTGATGCAAATTCGCCATACAACATACTGAATTTCACTCCCATCCATTGTCCCTACAACTTACGGATAGTAAAAGCTGAGAGGCCCATGGACAAATGGCACAAGTGACTACCCCAAAAGGAAAGATGAAAATGTCTAGCGATGAGAAACACACTAGGGTGAGATTGAAATCGGTATAGGAGATCTGAGGGTAAAACAATTACAAGTGTTGCCCTTTGTGACACGGTGGCTTAGGATTAGTTTTCAGCTGATATCCCAATAGCCTCAGGTCTGAGTGTCTGCTATCTATACTAGATGAGATAAAAAAGCGTTTAAAACTGGACGTGCATTGCAGTGTTTTCGGACGGGCAAGACCCAATATCCATCTGCTTCATCAGTTACGGTCAAGGTGACCGAATTGACCAAGGTACACTTCAATGCGAATCGCAGTCCACATTGGGATTGCGCATTGCAACCTATTCACACAAAGAGTACTAAAGAATGACCCCCTACATAAAGTACAACTGCATTTGTCATGGGAGAAATCCGTAACGATAAAGTCGGACGGGACGAAATGCGTGCCATTACAGTCTGTGGCAACATTAGACTGCAGTAGAGTTTTAATATACATCAGACCAGTTGAACAACTGATCCGTGCATCAAAGAGCGGTGCATCCAGTTGCCACAAATCGCATTAGCAGAACATCAAATAAAAACGAAAAGAAAGTGAGGTTAAGAGCAGACAATATAAAAAAGTGGAACCATCAAGTGTATTAAAGTAATCGCGCTGAGACGAGGATTAGCAGCTAGACGCATTAGACCGATTACACGTACATAAGTGTATGGAAAGAGTGGAAACTCAGGCGCACTGGTGCAGGGGATGTAACCAGGAACCACAGAGTACTTCTTAGTCGATTGCCCGCTCGAACCACTGAGCACCGTAACCACACAGCAAAAAAGGAGAATGAGTTGAAAGTTCCTACTGGCCTCGTGAGTCGTCATTGTGAGCAGGATGCGGACGATAATAAAACATATTTTGCGTCAAAATAAAGCCGAATGACAAGTCTCAGCCAAAGTTCGGTCATACCCGCCCTACTCCACCGACGGTAGCGCATGCGACGTAGTGTCCATCGTTTCGAATACTACCGACTAAATATGAGCAGGCCCAACTCCCGAAAACCACAAAATACGGTGTGTGTTCAAAGACAAGTAATTTAGGACTCGGATGATGCAGTTGATGGTTGAGCGACAACGGTGACGTTTGTAGAGCTAAACTACGTTTGCAGGTATAGGTAACATGGATAACGGCAAGCAAGTTCATGACAAGTGCTCAAAGGAGACAGAAACTGGACGAGGCAGTTTAGTGCGACAACTACGATTCGAATGCCGGGGTGACATGTACTATTTGATCAGAAAAAATAAACAAAACGGAAAAACGGAGAGGATAACGCGAGCATAAGCTGAAAGTCAAACGATAAAGGGTTTACATTGAATGTGGGGTGTGTGAATGGAGCTTTGGGTGGTGCAGCGCACGCCGTCCATGGTACCTCCGAGGCGCAGGCGTCTTGCGGTTGTCCTAAGGAGACCACAGTGACAAGCGAATCCAGAGCCGGATGCCGCTAACCAAATAGATATATGGTTGACGGCATCAGCTTTGGGGTTTACCTGTCACTGTGGCCAGCCACAGGACGCCTGCGCCTACAGAGGGACCATGGGTGGCTTACGCTGCACCACCCACAGCTCCAACCACCCACTTCATATCCAGTGTAAACCCGAAGGAATAAGACCGGGAAGTATGTGGATGGGAGCCACGTTTCATCAACAGAGCCGGCCCACACTCTTTCACAGGCAAACACAAGCACGTTGTTGTTGGGAATCAATCGCACGCAAGGCGGTGGCTGGACCGTAGTCCGCTCCACACTGAGTGCATGAAACCACTGTTCGAGCCTAGCACGACCACAAAGACCGGGTAGCCCGTCCCCTCCAGCAAAGAGCAACTGTCTCCTAGAGCCAGTATGGGCGAGACAGTGGGTAATAGACAGGTAGGCACCTTGACAACATGCACATCAAGCGCAGCCACACCGGAGATGTCAAACAGTCAATCACTTCAAATGACACTATCAAATAAAAGATATCTGTTAAAGAATACGGCTACGCAGACATAACTGTACCCTAAATTAGCATGTGAAGTAAGTTGGTTAGCAACGAATCCGGGATAAGGAAAAAAATATCCAGAAGTTACTCAAAAAATGCTACACGCGCAATAAAGTTAACGAAGATAACCACAATTAGCGTAAACAAAGTGGCCAGTTAACAGAAGATTAGTCACGTAGGCAGAACAAACCAAAGAAAGTGGAATGAAATGTATCCAGCTTAAAAAGACCTAGTTTAAGTGTAAGTTGGTTTATCCCAACTGCGGTGAAGAAGCATCATGAATGCAGCATTAGCCTCAGCATAGGTAACCCCTATATAAATATATATATATATATATATATATATATAACCAATAAACAGTTGACAGAGTGCCATGATGGGTAACGGCAAGGAAAACAGAGGGGAGTAAAAGCGGTCTCACAACACGTTCACCATTGGGTACGAGTCCGGACTATGTCCGATAGCGTATTCTACCAGGTTTTCTCACTCTCTTTGGGCTCCCAACAAGGGAGTCTGGAACAACCCACCTTGGCTAACTGCAATGTCAGCTTCATGATATCACGGACCCAGATTGCACGTTGGCCACTTCTCCGTCGCTTGCAACTAACGCCGTCGCACGTAAACAATGCGCTGAGAGGCAACCGTTGAGGAGACATACGGAGAACGTGCTTCAGCCACTAGAGCGTACGCAAGGAAAGTATGTAGCTCAGTGTTTGGTGGAGATTATCTGACTTCAAGATAGGAGGTCGGACATCATCAATGTTAATGCGATGCTGCCA